TTTTAGCTTATGAACCAAATCCAATTTTCGTGGCCGTGATACCAGATTTTTCACTTTGATTCATGCTGGATAAGGTTTAAGAGGGAACCTTTCCAGTATAATGAACCTGTGTTGTTGTTTTGTCTCGTCTCCTGTCTTCTTCCCTTGTCTCCCTCATGCCAACAACCAAGGATTTATACTGGGTCTGCAAAGCAACCTGAATACTTTCCATTGTTCCCCAGTGATGCTCTCTTTACATGTTTATTAACTGGAAGTTCAGCTAGGGGAAAAATAAAATCAGTTCCAACACCAGGGTTTTAAAAATGCCTATAATCTGGTGTCTTTTCTTTCTAACCCTGTCCTTTCATTAACAAAGAGGCTTTTACAAACATGGGACAGGGTGACAGGTTTATGACTTTTATTAACATTGATTTACTCCATTCCAGAATCAGAGAGGACATTGTGAATTTCCATTTGTCATTTTTGCATTGGATTTATTAAACATTTATTGCCCACTTACTGGATCCAAACTCCTGAACTGGGGTATTGATAGACAATGTGATAACTTTGACTCAACAAAAGATAGGTGTCACGTCCCAAAGTAAGCACATAATTGAGATGTCTTCTATGTGGTTCAAGGATAAAGTCATTTTGGTTTTGTTTCATCTGATCTGAATCATCTGTCTAGGTAATTGCTTCAAATATGAATTTAACCGTGTCCCAGCATCAGCAAGCCAGTGCACATGGTAGGCAAGTAAACGAATCTGTTCCTTCTGTCCTAAGTGGAGTCCAGAGGAAGCTTAACAAACAGTTGTGGGTGTTTTGTTTTTGTTTTTACCCACGCAATCGAACATTTGTTTTAGTGGCAAGAGAGTCACTCAGAATCCTAAACCAGCTTCAGGGCGGGGAGACTTCCTCTAGTGGGGATGAGGAGAAACACGGAAGGCTCAGCCACAGATCCGAGGAGTTAAGGATTATAAGCAGGTTCTATCCATTGTTCCTTGTGGCACACATTTACTGTACTCAGAGACTCCAAATTGCTCAGTTGTCGGAGAGCACTGTCTGGGGTTCGGTGAAGGAAAGAACCTGACCCCACGGGCCCTTTCATAGGTATCAGTGTCTGGAGGGGAGGGGGTTGGTTTGCATTTGAGCCCTTCTTTTCCCCAGAACAAGAACCTGATCTCCAAATCCCAACATAGCACAGCAGTGAATGTGAATTTCAGTGAATTAAGGTTTTGCAGTAATTCCAAGTACAATACTTTGATCCAAGTCCTCTCCCTTTTTATCAGAACCACACATACGCCAAGTGTGGTTGCCATTCCCGGGGCCAGCCCAGCACCTGTGAGCCCAGCTGTAGAAGTCACTTTTACAGGGATCCTGACCGAGGGCCTGCTGTGTCGTTGGCCTCCATGTAGGTTCGACTCCTGGGCAGGACACCTCGTATAGAGGGCAGTGTTCCAGAAGGTGCAGGGTGACGAGGCTCTGCCTCTACGGTCCCAGAAGGAGGGAGATGAACACAGGTTCACCTCCAAAGGGTATCCACGCACCTGCTCCGTGCCGGGCACTCTTCTGAATCAACAGATGGGGAGCTCTCTGCCCTCGCAGAGTGTACGTTGTAGCAACAGCAGGAGCCCCACTCTCTCCTTTCTGTCATCCAAGCTACTTGATAGCGAGGACACCCGGGGAGCTTTGTGGCTGCTTCCTTCCAAAGGAGATTAAGACATAAATACAAGTAGGAAGCAAGGGAGGAAGGAAGGAAAGGAGGAAGGGGGAAAGAAAGGTCAGAATAAGAAGGAAGGAAAGCAAGAAGTCAAAGAGGAAGCAAACGTTCATTAATCGTGGTAACTAACCAGAGGCTTCATAAAGAGACTCCTCAGTAGCAGGAGACGGGTACCAAGGAAGGGACAGCTGAGCAAACCATCCATCCACCTGGGAGACACCCATGCTTTCTGCATGAAGCCTCGGGTCCAAAGCATCACGTGCGGGACCTTCTTATCTTGCCTAAGGCCACTTGGCCTCCCAGAAAAGCAAGTTTTCAACCCAGGAGTGGATGTATTGTCCTTGCTGGGTTCCTTTAACAAAGTAAGAATCCCTCTAACTTGGGATTAGGCCCGAGTTAACTGGGAAGAGCCCTGGAGAGCCTTCCGTGGAGACCTGTCCTACCTCCTCCCGCTTCAGGAGGGACACCTCCCCCCCCTGTAGGCAAGGGACACACGAGGAGTCCTGGCCCCGCGCTTTTGAGCAGCTCATGCTGCCCTGCTCCCCAGCCTAGCTTCTGTTTCATGTTGTATCTCAACATCTAAATCCTCTAAGAATTATTGTAGAACCTGCTTGTCGCTGAGAGGGATCTGGTCTCAGTGTGCGCGGGAGCCGGCGATAATGAATGGGTCAGCATAATTACCGTGTCTCCTCACACAGGCGGCCAGCTGCTCTGCCAGATTGTGAATTTTTCATTTTCTTTATTTCAAAATCCAGGGCGTTCCTATGAAAACTTAATATTTGAACTGTGGCAAGGTGGAGTTGGCGTCACAGCCCCGCTCACTCATTTTCTCGCCAGTCCTGAAGCAAACAGCTCATCTCGCATGACTTCTGGGCTTTTATGGTGTTAGGACTTACTGGCTTTCCCCATTAGGATGGACACCTCTCCGCGAATTCAAGCACGTTGGTTGAAACACAAGCAGGGGGTTGTGGGTGAGCAGAGGCGGGGAAGCTGAGAATTAAGGACAGCTGCGTAATTTGACATGAACAACAATAAGAAAAAGAGGTTAAAAACAACATGTTTGGTCTTTTAAGACACAAATGGAAAGATAAAATCATTCTGAATCACTCGCGCAATCCCAGCATCGTACCCTCCTTGGTGAGAGAAAGATTTGGTGGAACCCATGAGAACGGGCAGAAAATAGCAAGTGACAGTCAGTCTGTCTGCACTTTGGGTTCAAGGGCTCTGTTCCAACCCCCGCGATTCTGTGGGGTGTAGGGGCTTGGGGATGGCTGCTGTGGGGGACCCCACCCACTTCGTCTCCCCGTCCCCGGCCAGCCCCACGCAGCTAGGATACAGTGTATCCAAGGACATCGCGGCTAATAAACAGATCAGGTGAAAGGCTTCTGCTCCTGAGTGTGGTGGTGAGAAGGGGAGCAGCCCCCCACTGGCAATTTTAATATAAGCTGCAGGCAACTTCAACACAGCACGAGACATAACATCTTGCAAGCGGTTAGGTGCTCCCCAAAATGAGCTCCCGGAGGGAGGTGTGCGTCTGCTGATGACCTATGTTTGCGAGCCTCCCTGGCGGTTGGATGTTCTGAAGTTGGAGGCTCCTGTCCCTCCCAGTGCCGTCTGTCCTAAAAACACTGTGTGAAGTCCCAGGAGAAAAGGAGCAGTAGAGAGGGGGTGGCATGCAAGGGAGGAAACCCTTGCTTCCTTCCACCTGTTTCTCCCTCCCTCTGGAAATCTCCTTTTGTGTCGGGGAGCAGTTGGGAAAGGAACCTGGGACAAGGAGGGGGGTTGGCTGGAGAGTCTGTCCATCCTTTGACCTGTCCACAACTTACCGGTTGCTCTCTTGTTTACGTGTTTAAGACACCCCTACATTCACTCAGATATCCAAAGTTTAGAACCTACTGTGGATAAATCTGGGGGGCTTCCGCCGACTTGGGGAGGCATAGGCAGAAGCAAAGATGGACGGGCGATGGGGGGAAAAGCCAGGAAGAACTTGCTGGATGATAGGGGACAGAAAAGGTAACACACTGACAGATTCCCTCTTTTTGAAACCATTACCCATGAGAGATTGGGTGTTCTGGGCCTTTGATACAGATCTCCTGCCTCAGTGGATTCCCCTGTATGATTTCCCAGAAATGTGCCTCCTCCCTGGAATGCCATTCAGGCGGGCACCTTGCCTGCAGTTCAGTGGGGATGGCACGCTCGGGGCTGGCCTAGCGAGAGTGCTGTGAGATTGCGCAGAAGTGGTTTCCTGAAGGCTTCCTGGGCCCCGGGTGCGTCTGGATTTACAGACACCCTAGGAGGAAGGACATCCCACGCAGAGGCAAGAGAATGAATTTTCAGGGGTCTCTGGCATCAGGCTTAATTTCCCTCTTGACTCCTCAGCAAGCCATCCCACTCAGAGAATTTACCTCCAAGAAGGAAAACTCAGCCCACACCCTCTTAAGAGCTGAGTTCCCAGACTTCTCTACAATTACGGTTGGTGTGTGCGCCTAGCTGTTAAATGGTTTGCGGGCTGATGGGACATTGGTAACGGTTCGTTTCTTGGCGCATAAGGGGTTTGCACACTTGTGATGCATGCACGTGTCTGCAGGAAAACTATCTTGCAATTTAAGAACTTTAACAAGCAGTAGGTGTACATAAAGGAAAATGTGGGAAAGAAAAATGGGATAGGGAAGGCAATCAGTAGACAACAAACACACACACACATTTCAGCCCCAGAAATAACTAGGGACACATTGAAATATGTACGCATATGGAAATGCAAGTGTATGCATATATACACGCACATATAAACATGCCTGGGTACACACCCACATACACGTGTGTAGACACCGTGTACACATGGACATACATGTTCACTTACACATGCACACATGTGCTTGGCTACATTGTATACGTGTATTGTGTGCTCAGACACATAAATATCTCTTACACACGGTATACATGTGTGTGCAGGTAGACACCTAGATCCTGGCAACACAGCGCATACTTCGTGCATTCCGCCTTTGTAGAATTTTAACTTTGAGCAGTGAGCTTGTCGCCTGTTACCACGAATTCTTTGTAAATGCTTGTCATTTACCATGTTCTCTTGGGCACAGGGACCGACCCCTTAGGCAACCCACTCTGTCTGGAATCGGACCTTGACCTCCTCCCTGCTGGCCGCCTTTGGAACCCCGCCTCCCTTCTCCAGGGACGGTGTCCAGCCTGGGGCTGCGGGGAGAAGGGTCCTGGGTGGGCGGGTTGCCCTCCGCAACCGGTGTGCTTCTGAAAGCCTTTGCTCTGCTCTCTCCTTTCCCACCCACAGTGCCCGGCTTCCCGTATCCAGCCGCCACCGCCGCGGCCGCCTACCGAGGGGCGCACCTGCGAGGCCGTGGCCGCACCGTGTACAACACCTTCCGCGCCGCGGCGCCCCCGCCCCCGATCCCGGCCTATGGCGGGTAAGTGGGGCAGCCCCCCCTCCCCCCGCGGCCCTGCGGCGGGCCTCCCGCACCACCCCTCCTGGTTGTGAGTGCATGCTGGTCTTGACTGTCCCACCAGAACCGCCCCAGCATGCAGTCCTGCGCGCGCCTGCCGTGGAGCACCTTGCAAAGAGAACTGAAAAATGAGTGTAATTTGTCCTGTCATGGTTGGTGCCTTTAAGCATTCTACATGTCACATGTTGTTATGTAAATTCTCTCTGAGACTGAATGCTGGAGAACAGAAAAATGGCTACAGCCAAAGATGGATTTCTGATGATTGCAAACATCAGGTTATTAAGGAGGTTGGATCACATTTGCCCCTTGAATTCCGTCCGTGGAGGGACACGGAGTCCCCAAACGTCAAAGTTTGCTGGAGTGGTCTTGCTCCCCTCCCCCAAAGACACCTTGCTCGTCAAGGTTTATGAGCCCTTGCCTGAGAAGAGAAAATTAGGTGTGGAGTTAAATGCAAACGTTCAAAAGTTCAAAGACATTGGAAGTAAGACCCGTTTCATTTGGATTTTCCAAAATGGGCCTTTGGCTTCCTCTGTAAGAAACTGTAATTCCCATTGGCCGTGTGGTATCTGTGTGCAGGGACTCTGGTGTTGCCGAGCATAGATCAAGGAATGACTGGGAACGCCGAGAAACTGTGGTCTTGGTGGGGTGCGCGGCAACACTGCAATACTATGCTTTCTTTCCTCCTGTTCAGGGCTCCTTCTGGAACATTCTGGCACCCCTGGTGTCAGGGAGAAAGGGGTGTCTCTGCCAGTCCTCGGGGATGTTTGGACTGTCTGGAGACATTGTGGGTTGTCATAGCAGGAGCAGGAAGGTACGATGGCATCTAGGAAGTGGAGGCCAGGGACACTGCCTGACGTGCACAGTGCACAGGAGGGCCCCCAAACATAGACGTGTCAGGCCCCAAATGTCAGTAGCGCTACTCAGAAAAACGCAGCTATGCCTTGGCCGACTGGATCTGGTCTGTGAAAAAGTATATGGCTGCGTTCCAGGCTGTATGAAAAGGGTTAACGCATTTTTTAAAAGCTCTGTTGCTTATAAATCTTTTAGAAAACCTGAATTAGCCTAGATCATCTCTCTATTATACTGACGACAAAGGGAACCACTCTTTTTTTCATTATTTATTCATATCTCACCTATTGCAGAGGTGTTTCAAACACAGACACAATGAGACAAAATTCAGAATATAAATAAATGAAAGTACATGGAATCATCAGGAGAAGAGAACACAGGCAAAGATACCAGCCCGTGTCCATTGTTTCTTGTGTTGTTGTTAGCCTTGGGTCACTTCTCGGTTTCTTACTGGACAAAACAACAGTGAAAATTCCTTTCTTGTGGAGAGGTGGTGCACAATACCAAACCGAGGGTGAATTTGTCCTGACTTCTCCCCATCCTCCAGAAACATGCGTCTGCTCCTCCTAAGCCTTTACCTGACCATGTACTACAAGGAAGCATCCAGAGTGTTAATCATTATTTCCAGCCCCACAGTGTTGAGCCCATTTTATAGACCCAGAAATGTAGAAATAAAGATGTGTTATTCCCAAGGTCACACGGCAAGCTGTTATGAGGGAGGGGAAAAAAAAAAACCCACCAAGTTACCCTGTAGGCTCATGTAATTACTAAAGCAAGATTCATAAGCCATAAATGCAAAATCACATGTTTATACCACATTCATTTGTCTGAAAATTATTATCTTATCTTAGTAGATGGTAATTGCAGCTTTTTGGTATATGTGTTCTCAGTATCTCACTACTATACTGAACAGGAAAAAAAAATAAAATTATATGGCTTATCCTCACATGAACAATTTATAAAAATCTCAAAATCACACACCTGCCGTAAAATTGAAATTCGCTAACTTACAATCATCTCGCTCTTTGCTGGGAATAACCGTGCATAACTAATTAATGCCACATTCACCAGGGAGACACACAGGCATCTCCAAATGGTGAAGCAACGTGTTGTGACTGCTTTCAGACGTGACTTAATTTAAATATTCCGGCAATATTCCTATCATTTTGGTTATAATGGTACCCTGTGCCTCTTTGCTGGTAATATTCCAAATGGAATCCTGAAACCACCCTTAGTGGTAAGATGAAATTCTCAATATTAGGAGGAGGAGGAGGAAGATACAGAAGGGCTAGGGGTGTGTGCATGTGTCCATGTCTGCGTGTTCTAGAAGAGCAAAGTGCTGGTTGAAAATAGGAAATTCAGCGAGGGTGTCTTGCTGTATTGCAAACTGTGTGGAGTGCACTGGCTCCAAATGAGAACGTGTGAACCCAGCATCTTAAATGAAGGTTTCCCTTTTCCTCTGTTTGTTGGTTGAGGCTGCAGGAGACTGAGGGCGGAGGGGCAGCTCATTTTTGGAAAGAAAAGCAGAGGACAGCAGAGAGCAGATAGGGGCTGGAGTGGTAAGAGCCCTGAGCTTGGGTGGAAGCAAAGAGCAGAGACTGGAAACCAGAAACCTACTTCTGTTTCCAGAAGGTGACGTTTTCAGGATTCAGGTCATTCAGGTGATAGTGTGGATTTCCTGTAGCCGTTTGTGTACCAAAGTCCTTTGTGGGGAGATTTGTAGAGTCGACCCATGTCTTTACTCCAGTGCAGTTCAGCCTAACACCCCTTTTCTCCGTTCCACACACTGTCTTGCACTTTCAAGGAATTCCTTCCAGTTAGGGACAGGGGCACCCCATAAGCTAATAATTTCAATAAATGTGCTAAGGGAGAAGGGTGTTGTGTGAGCACCAAGGAAGGTCCCTTAGCTCAGCTTGGGTTTTTAGAGAAGGCTCCAGAAGAAGAAGAAATGTAGGATGCCCTCAAGTCCAACCACTTCCTAAATTGCCATGCTGAGACCCCATTCTGCCATCCCCCCTCACACCCAGGGCTCCCCATCTTTTCTAAGCTGTCACTGAGTGAGCTGCATTTATTAGGATTTTCTATTTGTCACCAGTTGAAGACAAAGCTAACTGCCAAACCTCTGCTCTTCATGAGCTATGCAGTATATACTTTGTTACTGAAATTACAACCAAAAATGGGTCATTCATCCTATGTCCGTGTATGGCTTCCATACTGTTTTCCCAAGATACCGAAAAAAAAAAAAAATCAGGGCACCTGAGGGCTCGGTCAGTTAAGCATCTTACTCTTGGTTTTGGCTCAGGTCATGATCTCACAGTTGTGAGATGGAGCCCATGTCAGGCTCTGTGCTCGGTGTGGAGTTGGCTTCAGATGCTCTCTCCCTCTCACTCACATACACTCTCTCTCTCTCAAATAAATAAATATAAAAGGAAATACCACAGAAACTCCATGGCTACTTTTGTGGAGCCTGGGGTGACCCTCAGAGATACCCAACATCGAGACAGTCCTACAGGAAGATTCAGCAAGCATGCCTTCCCATTCATCCATTTCCTTTGATTGATTTGTTTTTCCCTTCCACATCCCTCCCAGCAAATGAAGAGCACAGGTTTCAGAGGGGCCCTATTCTCTTCTTCCTCACACCGGTAAAGAGAACCTTCTTGGCACATTAATAGGTGATCATTTGCCCTTGGAGAGGGGGATTCTGCTTGGACCATGGGGTGGGGACCACAGGAATGGATGGAAAACCTAGATTGAGTCAGCCAAGTCACTGTTGATTGTCAACATCAACTGAATGAGGAAGGGCGATGAGTTGGAAACCTAGAGTCCGACCCCCTTCCAGGGAGGGTCCTGCAGTTTCCAGACCACCATTCCCCACAAGCCACAGAGCTGGCTTTGGTCGGAGGCACCGCGATAGTTCATGGAATATGTAGATCATAAACGAAATACTAACTAGTGAATGGTTCCTGAGAAAGCTGAATCACCAGGTCTGCCATCTTCTCCACGCATTTGATCCCAGAGTCAGTGTGGACAGAGAAGCCTCAATGTCCGGTCTGTCTTCATGACCCCCATGTGGGAGAAACTGCTCTTTGGGCAATTGCCCACCAAAGGAGATCGTGGATCGATGATGCCTGGGTGGAGATGGCAGATGGATGGACTGGAGACACACCCCCAGACTCAGTAAACATCTGATATTAGAAGACAGCACCCGAACCCCAACACCCACCTAAAAGGAACCCCGTGAGCCTGGCCTCACCAAATTCTTATTCTTAATTAGCCACTTAACTATAAAGCAGCTATTTATCCCGTGCCTGCTATGTACCAGGCATATTGTCCGGGGACACAGTAGAGTGTTCTAATGGAGCATCAAAGAGTATTTGAAAAATGATTAGGATTCTAAGCTAAATGTCCAGCATCTGCTGTAGGGTTTTGGTCTTGGTTCTCTGGGTCTCTTTGGATAAAGTGTTCCATAACTTTCTCCGGAAATTAGTTATGATGCATCTATGTACAACCTCTCAGAGTTACCTTGAGAAGTGGTCTGAAGACACACTGTGCCATTTTGTGTATAGGAGAGATATAGTAGTATCCCAGGACAAAATCTCTTAAACTGGCCAGGGGCAATGATGAAATTCACACGTAGATCCTTGGGAACGCTTTCGGGGCAGGTCCTAGGAAAGCATCTGACAGCAGGCACTAGCCTATGTGTGTGTGCTTTTCTGGCTATACAGCAACCATGCTTTCAGGCTTAATTTCTGAATGTCTCATCCTCAGACTATGCTTTTTCCGTTTAGGACCTTTCTACGTTTAATATAACCCTAGGAACAGAAGTCATCACCCATTATCAGAATGTTTTTCAGAATTCTCTCTAGCATTTTGTGTGTGTGTGTTTGGGTTTGGTGTGAATTCTTGTTCGAATTTCCAGCCAGTTTTAAAGTGTTACCTCTGTGATGTTTAAAAAAAAAAAAAAAAAAGTTGTGAATTGAATGCATCTATAGATAAAACCACCATGAATCAGTGGTTCTTAAATTTTATTTTTGGCGGGGAGGAGAGGGTTATGTCACAGATGCCTTTACTAATCTGATTAAAAATGTGTTTTCCCTAGGAAAATGTTAGTGTAC